AACAAAAACTCTTAATTCTTTTTCTAAGTGTTCGGTTTTTTTTTGTTTGACTGTTTCTCAGGTATTATTTTCCATATATTCATTTTTGTTTATATTCATCAATCCAATAGAATATGACAGAAACAACAACAACAGAAACAATTAATAACAATAATAATAGTTCTCCTCAGCAAGTAAAAAATGAAGGAGAGAAGATAGAAAAAAAGAAAAGACAACAATACATTTATGAATTAATTGGTAGGATTACAGAAAAAAGGCAGAAGAAACCTTCTCCCAGCAATCAAGTGGAAGGCAAGAAATACGATGATTACTTTTATCAGTTAAAAGTCAGTATTGAAAACAAAGAAGTAAATAAACTTTTCGTTTTTAAGAATAGTCTAGCAATTGAAAAGGTTTGGCAAGATATTGAGGCTAGTGAATATATTGACAAAAGGTATTTGTTTTACTGCCATAACTATAAAGGTCTTTATCGGCTAGTAAATTGGAAAGAATTGACTAACCAAGAGGCTGTGATAAGTCATCATGATAGAGACAAGTAATTACCTTGTTGAAAGAATTAACAAATTTAGTTCTCTTGACAAAAACACCAACGAAGGCAATAACTTTCCCAGCAAATTTCAAGAGAATGTGTTGGTGTCCTTTACTATTTGACTAGAAGAAAAAAATCTTTCTCCCAGCACAGTTCATACTTATACCAAATTAATTAAAAAACATCAGGATTTATCCAGTAGATTTTTCAATATTACTAATCTCCAAACTCTTTTCCGTCGGAGATTGAATAGATACGAGCCAGCCACTCTACACTTGGAATTGAGTGCCTTAACTTGTTTTGCTAAATTTCGAAAGATAGAAATGGAGTGGGAAGAAGTTGCCAAATTACTTCCTCACCGAACCCAAAAGTTTTTTAGCACGATTAATCCATCAGAATTAAAACAGTTAAAGCAGGCTCGTTATGAAAAGAATGATTGGATTTATCAACGAAATAACCTCATTTTTGACTTTCTTTTTTACACGGGGGTAAGAATAGGTGAATTAGTAAATATTAAGCATTCTGATTGAGAAAACAACAGTTTCAAAGTCTTGGGTAAGGGTAATAAAATTAGATATATTTTTGTGCCTGATTTTCTTGTTGGTCAGTTAAGTCTTAACTCTTCCAATAATTATTTGTTTACTACCACAAAGGGAAAAGCATTGGATACTTCTTCGATTGAGAAGTTTATTACTCGTCGAACTAAATTGGCAGGAATTAAGAAAGCAATCAGTCCCCACACTTTCCGAAGAAGTTTTGCTACTTTTTTTAATAGTAGAAAGGTTAAATTAACTACCATCCAAAAATTATTAGGACACAATAAATTAGAGACTACTGCCAACTATATTCATAATTCTCGTGAGGAATTATATGCTGATTATAGTAAGGCCTGGGAGGATGAAGAACAAATAATATAAAGAAAAAGAAGTATTTAAGAATTAAAATTTATGCCATTTACACCTGAACAGCAAAAGCACTGAAATCAAGAAAATAAAGTTAGGTTAAGTCAAAAGAGAGCCAAACAGAGAGAATTAAAAAAACTGGGTCGGGACAAGGAACAAATTATCACTGAGTTAATTAGATTAGGTTTGAGGAAACCATTAGGTCAGGACAAAATTAGGGCTGGGATAGAAAAAAAGGTCAGGACAGATTTAGAGGTTGAGACACCTAAAACCGATATTGGGTCAGGACAGGTTGAGACAACTGATGATAAACTAAGTCAGGACATTTTCTGAGGTCAGGACAGCAAACCAATAATTAAGGTTGGGACAGGTCAGGACAAGTTGGGTCAGGACACGGATAAGCAGATTGAGGTCGAGACAAAAAAAGAGGTTGGGACAATAAATTGTGAAAATGAAGTTTTATCTTCTTTTTACCATACTGGAACCAATTTAGAAGACTTTCCTTTTGAACTAGACCTTGAAGAAAGTGATTTTGATGATGAACTCAACTTCTTAGACAATTTAGCAAATGAACCAACTGCTCAATCCGAAAAGATTTTGCAACTTAAACTTCAACTAACCAACAAAGATGAGGAAAATGAGAAGTTAAAAAAGCAATTAGTTCATTCTCAACAAATTATCAATGATTTACAAAATAAAAATAATCCTCCAATACAAATTATTACTAAACAAGAAAACATTAACAAAAACCAAGAGGATTTTAAAGCAGAACAATTATCACCTCTGAAACCCAAAATAGTTATTGAAAAAGAACTAAAAACAATTCAATCCGAACTTTTTAAATTACCATTAGAACAAAAAACTAACTTAGTTTATGATGACAAAGTAGCAGAACAAGAATTTAAATCCCTCCTAAATAGCACATGGCATCCAGGGAAAAAGGATGAATACTGACGTCATTTTGCTCCCAAAAACATTAGAAAAGAAGATTGTGAGAAGTGTAAACCTTACTTTCAAGACCATATATCTAGAAAAGAATAAATGAAAATTCTTCAACTTTCTAATTAGTTTTCAAGAAAATTTTTACTTATATTTCTCCCAATATCCAGTTCTATATCAGTTTTGTATACTAATTAAATCCCCTCTAAGTCCTTTATAGCAAGGGACTAAAACAAATTATATAGGGTAAAATTATGACTGACGAAAAACAATTAACTGAATTAACCAAAACTAGTAATGCCGAGGAAATTGAAAATACTACTCTCAAATATGAAGAAAAGTTAAAAAAAGAACAAGAAATTCCCGCCTATTCATCCCGGGGAAATTTTGCGAGAAAGGTTATTAATTCCTCGTGATATTAGTCCCCAAGAATTAGCAACGGCACTAAAAGTTCCTAAGGAACAGATAAAGTGAGTGTGTGAGGAAAGGGCAGATATCACGCCCGATTTAGCTGCCCGATTAGCACTTTATTTTGACAGCACTGTTGAATTCTGGCTTAATTTACAACGCAGTTATGAGGAAGAAATAGCCAAAGAAAGAACCCAATTATTTTCTTAAATAAATATTCACCTCCAAGAACAAACTATATATAATATAAAATAAATTAAGGAGGTAGAAAGAAAGTGATTGACGAGTAAAGAGAAACACTGCCCTTGTCTCTCTCTCTCTCTCTCTCTCTCTCTCTCTGCTAATACAATAAAAATAAATAATTACACATAAACAAATTAAATATTAAAGCACTATGAACCGAAATATAAATTTTAAAACATTAGAAGAAAGAAGAAAAGAGTTAGCAAGTTTGAAAACTGAATGAGAAGAAATGAAGGAACAAGAGAAAAAGTTGAAAGAAAAATTTTATAGCAGTCCGTTTGAGAAAAGAGCCCAAATCAAAAGAGAATTGAAAACACTCCAAGATGCTATTTTTAAAAAGAAAGATTGTGGAACTAGTCTCAAAATTGAAATTGAACGAGAGGAGTCATTACAAAATCGAACTAATCCAGTTGGCAACCCGACCGACCCAAAAAAGTTAGCCAGTTTGCTTAAAAGTGATTTACAGGACATTTTGACTAATGATAGCCGGTGAAGAGAAGAAGGTTATAATTTTGACTATATGGAAATTGCCAAGGGTGAAGAAATATGAGTTATGCACTGGAAAAAAAATAAAGAAATAGGAAAGGCAATTGAAAATTTATCCCGCCACCGTAATTCAAAAAAAGATTATGCTAATGATATTAAGCCTAGTGATTTAGACCAGGAAGATTATAACGAAATATTAAGTTTGGTCCGCCAAATAAGAGAGTTAGGAGAAGTTAAAAGAGAGCAATATCAACAAAATATCGAAAATATAAAACTCAATAATCCCCGAATATTTGATCAATCAAGGTGTTTGACTGATAGAAGAGATGGTCAGGAAAAATGGGAAAATTGACATACTTTTCACGGAAAACATAACGGTTATAAATGAGAAATTTACGTTCCGGATAATCATATCGCCTTAACTAATGTGCTTTTTGATGATGGTTGAGGAACAAATTCCGAAGTCGGAAAATTTTTCGTAGTGGAAGGAATGGCTAAGCCAACTACTCTTCGTTACTGAAATGTTGCCAAACAAAGAAGTGAAATTATTTCCGAAGCCGAAGCCCAACGTTTATTAAATCAAGATAAAGACAATGGTCGTTATTATATTAATTATCACACTTATGTTGACTTAAATGATAAAATATGGATTGACCATTATCAAGGAGATATTAAACAAGAATTAGCAAAGCCAGTTAGCGGTGCCAATAAATTAATCGAAAACAACGACCATAAAAATATGAGTGGTGGAGTTATCACTAAACAAGTAGAAAAAAACCAGCAACTAGACAATGAATTTTTGTTAAAATACTTCCAAGAAAACGATATTAAAGAAATTTCCTTAACTCCCGAAGGTAATTTATTAATTGAATACAATAGTGGCAAAACAGAAACTATAACTAACGACCAGGTCAATCGCCAAGGATTACAAAAAGTTATTAGTTATTACCAAAAAAATAACCAAACTAATTTAAATCAACAAGACTTAATTAACAAAACCAACTCTAATTCACCAGCCACAAGTCCGAAGAATGGTAATAATTCATTAGCGGCTCTTGTTATTGGCGGAGTTTTAGTAATTGGAATAGTGGTTGGATTGTGAGTGAGAAAAAGTAAAGTTAAGAAAAATTAGTTAATTTTCGTTTTCTTTGTACTACATTCTTTTTCGCTAAGTTTTAAAACTACAAGTGCGAAAGTCTGACAAAAAAACAACTAAATGACCAAGCAGAAAATAATTGATAATCCGAGCGAATGGATTATAACAAAAAGAGGGGATTTTGTGCGAATTAAGGACAGTGAAATATTAACTGAAAAGAAATTAGAGGCAATTCGCAAGCATTTAAAAAAACCATATAAAGGAGTGGCTCGTTTTCAAGGAAAAACTCCCGAACAAGTTAGCAAAGAAAGATACGATAAAGTTTTAGAAGAAGTTAATTTTGATTATGAAAAACTTCACCATTGGATTTATGATGAAAAAAATAAGGATAAAATTGAGATAGTTAAATTGGAGGGGCAAGATTACCAAGAGGCAGTAGCGGCGATAATTAAGCATGTTAAGAGTTCTCAACAAAAATGGAGAATCAGAATGATTGTCAAACCAAATGAATTTCCGAGTAGAGTTTTAGTTAATGAAGAAACTGGACAAGTTATTTATTACACTACTGGGATAAGTTTTGCTGATTTAGAAAAATTAAATAATAATCCTCTTGTAATTTCACCACAAGTAAACAAGGCAAGAGAAAATCATACTTCTACTGTTATTTTCCTTCACGGCACTTACGGAGCAATAAGAGATTTTCACCAAATAGAGAAAAATTTCCCTAATAATACTAAGTTTATTTACCCATATTCGCCAATTATACAATATGACATGTGGCATGGTGCCGAAGCGAAACCTGGTAGTCAAGAAAAAGGCTGAATTAATATTACTGGCGACGCTCACGAAGTTATGGATACTGACGTTTGTCCGAACAATCCCCCACCTAAAAAAAATTTTGAAGAAGCCGACCAAATAATTCACTTGGATTATCCCCAACTAATGCGAGCAGTCAGTTATGTCAATGAAATTATTGAGAAGGAAATTGCGGCTGGTATTCCTCCTGAAAAAATTTTCATTGCGGGTTATTCCCAAGGTGGCTTATTAACTTTGGCCGTGGCTCTCACTTCCCAGTATAAATTAGGCGGATTTATTTCTTTGTGCGGCTTTTTGCCTCGCTGAGACAAATTGCTAGTCAGACCCTCAGAAAAAAATAAAGAAACTCCTTGCTTGATTATCAATAATTCTGGTGACCCTTGAGTTCCTTTCTGGTATTCATTCCTAAATCCGCTTTCTCCGATATTTTCCTGAAAATAAATAGTCGCTTTTTTCTTTGCTCATTTATAATAACCAAAACTAATACCTAATCCCAAAATTAAACCGATTGCTAATCCAATTCACCTATATAATTGCTTTTTGATGATGGTTGAGGAACAAATTCCGAAGTCGGAAAATTT